CATCAAATAGACTGTCCAACCTATGAAGGAAGGTAGAGGATGAGGGGGTAAGAGATCAACCAAAGGACTTGTATGCATGCATATGAGCATAATCAATGCACACAGACAGTAGGGGTGTGAGGGCATGTGCTGGGGTGGGAGCAGCCAGGGAGAGGTCAATGAGGGAAAAAGGAGACTTATGTAATACTTTAAATAATAAGAAATTAATCATAAAAAATAAAAAGATAAAAATAAAATAAAAACATATCCAGTACTCATGAGTAGGTTTTCCTTCTTTTCAAGTAAAAACACAGAAAACTGACTAGAGGAAATATTCCAGAATGTTAATAATGGCTAAGTATTGGTGATAAGACTATTTGTGATGGTAAGTTTTCTGTAGTTTTATAAACTTAAAAAAAAACTCACACTTGCTTTCTACCAAGAACTATGCTGGGACTATAGTACATGCAACAAAGATAAGACATGCCCTTTGAGAGTTTCCAAAGGAGTAAGCAGAAACAGTCTGCAAAGAGTCAAGGAATAGACAAGGCTGAACTACAACATTAATGTCATTCAAGTACAAATGTGATATATCCTTCTTCTACACTTACTCATGTTCCTATCCCCATCAACAGTCAATACTCCCTTGTTGAGAAGTGAAAAGAGAAACCCTGTGAACATTGTAAAATACATCAGAGGAAGAACTCAAAAGTGTCCAGGTAAAGGTTACTATTAAGGTAATAGAATAAAAAGACATCAGAAAATTAAGAAATTACATTTGAAAGAAAATTCTAGAAAACATATAGCACTTAATTTTCTATGTGATATAAATTCTTCAAGACCTATGTAGCTACTCATTAACTAGTTCCTAAAGACAATGGATTTGCTGATTGTAATTTTCTTTGAATTCTAATCAATGGATACTGTAAGAACAGAGCTCCCTCATCCCAATGCTCAGCTTACCAAAGAAGGATGCCATCTGCAAGTGATTTGAAAAGACTGCCATCACTGGGATTCATGGGTAGGAGATGCTTACAATCAGGGTCATCCTCCAGGGCCTTGTTTATCCAGTTAACAAATGCCACTTTTTCTTCCTCTGAAAACAGAAAATCTCAGTAGCAAAGCTCATTTCAAAAAATTCATTGCACTATTAAAACATTTCTGTTCAAAGATTATAAATTCCAATTATTAGAACTCTACTAAAACACTAAAAGCTTTAAGAAAAGGAGAAGGGGGAATTCATTCCAGTTTTTCATCTGCTATATTAGGGTGGAGTATGATATATAAATTAAATGAGCACAATAAACATTCAGTTTTATTCTGTAATCTTTCCAAATATATATTGCTTCAAAGAGTGTATGGATCAGAAGCCAACCATCAAAGGTCAGATACACACACATGCACACATACACACACACAACAGGGGAAAAGTACAAGAAATAAATATCACATCAATATGGTCCACCTGCCATCATCCCTGAAAAATTTAGAGTTGTTATTTGGGGCTTACAACAGAAATACTGAATTTAATCAAGAATTATTCAAATGAATAAAATAGGTCAATTTTTGTGAAATTTCTGTAAGAAAACTGGTACAAATCTAGATACCAATACTACTCCCAGCCACTTTCATTGTCATCTACTTAACACATGGCTTCTAGCATGAATAACTTGATCTTTAAACAGAATGTTGTGTTGATGCAATGGGAAAAATAGGAAGGAACTTAAAGAAAAGCGTCCTGTTGTTTTATTGTTATTATGTAAATACTAGGGGCCCAGTGCACGAAATTCGTGCACTGGGTGGGGGTGAGAGGGAGTGTCCCTCAGCCCAGCCTGCCCCCTCTCACATACTGGGAGCCCTCAGGCATTGACCCCCATCAATCTCCAATCGCAGGATCGGCCCCTTGCCTAGGCCTGACGCCTCTGGCAGAGGCGTCAGGCCTGGGCAGGGGACCCTCATTTCCCCCCATCACTGGTTCTGCCCCCAGCCCCGGCCTGATGCCTCTGGCCCAGGAGTCAGGCCTGGGCAGGGGACTCCCC